TAGAGGTCAAATACAATTTCAAAATAAACTGAATGTTTTGAGTTCAGTATAATACCAAGAGATGGAGCAATGGCAAAATTATTTCACAGCCCTGCATATCAGTTTTTCTGCTTATCTGCTTACCTGCTATTATCTCTTACCTGTTGAGTACTGGCCAACATCAAAGCTGCAGAGGCATTTTCCCCTATATAAGGTGAAGTCAAACATCTGGAGATGTCTACATCAGGTGTGGGAAGAGGGGATGGTATTTAACATTACTTGCCTTTCAAGAGCTGTTTGTATTCCTGGAAAAGGACACTAGTTTTACTTAGAATTCCTTGTTGCTTACCAAGCCAGAGAATACTGCAAAGCTCTTTTATTTATATTGGCTAGAGTTTCTGTATTAGAACCTCAATAGTGCAGAGCTGCACTGGTGTGCCTGTTCAGCAGATACAAATTGCCTAAGTGGCTTGCTAGGGTTAGGTAAGGAATGGTGATGGATCTAAAAAATACTGCTGGATTAGAATGGAGAGTCCATGGGATATTTTGACTAGCTGTTAGTAGGAGTCATGGAAGTAGGAAGCAGCAGAAATTCTAAGGTATGCTGCTTTATAGCAGCATTTCTGGCAGTGCTGCTGTAAAGCAACAATTGCATCCATGGATATGCTTTTAAATGTTCTTTATATACAAGACTCGGTATTATGCAGTGGGAGGAAATACTTCTAGGAAGCAGCATAGATTCATATAAAGAGAGTATTTACAAGAGCATGTAGTGACAGGACAAGGGGGGAGTGACTTCAAACTGAAAGAGAGTAGGTTTAATTAGATGTTAGGAAGACATTCCTTACTGTGAGGGTGATGAGACACTGGAATGCTGTCAGACAGGGTGATGTTACCCTGAAAAGATGTGGATGTCCCATCACTGGAAATGTTCAAGGCTAGGTTGGATGGAGCTCTGGGTAACCTGGTCTAGTGAAAGTGCTGGTGCCTGTGGCAGGAGGGTTGGAACTAGGTGATCTCTAAGGTCCAACCCAGCCCAGTCTGTGATTCTATGAAAATATATTTCATTTAATACAGAAAAAAATTTTCTACCTACATGCTGCTGTTTCCCATAATACAGTGTGGCAGCTTTATGCATGAGTTCACTGCACTGGACCAAATTGCTGGAAGAATTAAGAGTATGGCATCTACTTTTGGAGCGTTTTAGGGATAGTTTTGAGTGTGTGCAATGACCACAGATGAGAGATAATATGCATCTTGCTGTTTATCTGTTATCACTATCACTTTGAAAAACTGCACTGTGAAGTCAGTTTAATTGAATTACATTCTGTAAACTCCTGCAGGATAATGTTTTCTTCATGTTTTTCTTGCTGTAGTATTCTTAAGTGAGTAGATGCTTTAAAACAACTAAAGGATAGAAATGAATGTCATTGTATGTCAGAAGTTTGCTGTTTTCATTAGTTAGAGGAATCTGCAAAGTATTTTGAGGCCAAATAATTAGCCTGTAGTTAATGCTAAGTATTCCTGTTTTATGAAAGATTAAACAGTTGTTAAAATGTGTGCTTATTGCTTTCCAGAGCACACCATTTTATCTTTGTCCTGCATGGCCTTGCATGTTCATCAGCAGGGACATAATGTGGATTAAAAAGGCCTGGCTTCAAATAAGGTTGTGTGCTTCTGCAGTAACTACTTGGCCTGTTTGGAGCATGCAGCACCCAAGTTTCTTTGGAGCAACGGCTTGTGAAGGCTTTCTGAAGTGAATAATCCTATTACCAAGTTGATTTGAGTGCTCAGGCTGTGTACAGTCCATGTTAGAAGGTACAGGAGGGGTATTGCTTTGTAACCAAGAGATGTCCTGGTGTCTTTACCTGATGCCGGTCAGGTTACCTCTGGTGCTGTCTTTATCTGCAGTGGAAAGAAGACTTTGTGGCAGAGAGGGCACTTTGGTTCCTCACATTCTGGAGCAGTGGGAGTGCCCACACTTCCTCATGATGTCAGTTTGGACCAGCAACTGCTGAGAAGCAGCGGGCACTGGCTGTGCTGCTCTTGGTGGTGACAGACTCTCAGTGGTGCTGCTGTCCTGATTGTCCAGGACTGTGGAGCCTGACCAACAGTACTGGTCAACCAGAGGTTGCTTGTGGCTGAACTGTCCTTGGAAGCAAGAGCTGTTGTGAGTAAAGGGAATTTTTGGGGATACATTGCCCCATCTCATTTTCAGCTCACTCAGCATTTCTTCTTATTTCATCCAAGCCAGGAAAAGAGGTGCAAGAATGCCAGAGGCAAGATGGACATGCCACCCTAACACTGCTAACCCACTAGAGCATCCTTGTGGCCATGCAGGGACCAGCAGGCTACAGGGAACCCAGGCACCTGCAGGAACCAGCCTCCCCGCCATGGGCTCTGCCACTTGGCACTTACATGGTGCCAAGATGTTCACAGAATTAATCAAGTTGGAAAAGATGTCTGAGATCAAGACCAGCCTAGCAACTAGACCATGGTGCGAAGTGCCACATGTAGCCTTTCCTTGAACACCACCAGGGACAGTAATTCTACCACCTCCCTGGATCAACCCTTCCACTGTCTAATTGCCCCTTCTGTGAAGAAATTCTTCTTAATATCCAAGCAAAACGTCTTAATGTCCCCTGCCACAGCTTAAGGCTATGCTCCCTTACTCTGCCACTGGTTGTCTGGGAGAAGATGCCAACTCTCACCTGCCCACAGCCTCCTTTCAGGCAGCTGAAGAGAGCAATAAGGTTACCCCTGAGACTCCTCCAGGCTAAACACCCCTCCCTTCCCCAGCTGTTCCTCATAGCTCTTGTGCTCCAGGCCCTTGTCCAGCTTTGTCGCCCTCCAGTTCCTCCCTGAATTGAGAGGACACAGGATTCGAGGTGGAGCCTCACCTGGGCCGCGTACAGGGGCAGAATCACTTCCCTCATCCTGCTCCCCATGCTCCTGCTCTTCCAGGCCAGGATGCCACCTGGGCCCACTGCTGGCTCGTGTCCAGCCGCTGTACCCTCCAGCCTACTCCGACCCACCTTGCAGGCTGCGTCTGTGAATTTACGAATGGTAGACTCGATCCCCTCATCCGTGGTTTGGGCCTTTTCGGAAGTTTGTACAAAGCAGGCGCTGCTCTTGCCCTTTAAACCTCGCCGCCATTAAGTTTTCCCCCGCCCAGCGCCCGCCCCGGCCCGTCCCTGCGCGTTGCCGTGGCAGCGGAGCCGCGGAGCGGGGCAGGTGAGGGGGGCGGTGTCCGGGCTTCCCCGAGCCCCGGGGCGGCCGCCGTGGGGGTGGCCGGGGCCGTGGGCGGCCCTGGGGCTCCCTCCGGCCTACGAGGGGCCGCGCCGGGGCCGCTGCCCGCCGGCTCTGCCTGCCGGCTCTGCCTGCCCGCAGCTCGGGGCGGGTGGGCCGCGGGCGCCCGGGGCTCGGCCAGTCCCGTCTGTGTGCGGACACGCCTTGGCCTTGTTTCCCGAACACCTGGGGCTGGCTTGGGGTGCGTGGAAGGAAAAGAATAGAACATTAGAACTAACTAGAGGAAGTGAAATTGATGAGCTGATATTTGTCTCTAGCGAGAGTAAACCATGAGAAAGTGACGATGGTGAAGGGGTGCAGAGGCTGCCTGACCTAGCTGTGCTTTTCTTTGACCATTAGGTGTGTGTGTATGTATGTAGAGAAGGTTCCCTCTGAACATCATGAAACTTTTTTTCCCTGTGAGGGTGACCAAGCAGTGGCACAGGTTGCCCAGCAGGGTGTGGAGTCTCCATTCTTGGAGATTCTTTGAACACACTTGGACATGGATTTTTGGCACCCTGCTCACAGGCAGTGCCGGGGGTCAGACCAGCTGACCTCCAAGAAGTCTCTGGCCACCTCTGTACTTCTGTGAGACTCTGTGATTAATGGCTTACTGTGGAAAAGCAGGTCTTGCACTGCACTTTTTTCCCGATTTTATTTTTATTCTTTTATTTGAGTACTTCCCAAGAGTACATGCACACACAGCTGTATTCCTTCCTCAGAGTTTTTCTGTTGTCCTGAAATCCTCAGCTTTTTCGCCTTCAGCTTTATTCCTTGGCTAGAGCTATGTTTTTGAATCATTACTGAAAGCTCGTGACCAATCTGGTAATTAAATGTGCACCTTGAAGTCTGTTCCTGATGCAAATTGGCTGCATTGGAGTGATGAAGATGCTCTGCCCTGTCTGCATTTCTCCATAAATAAAGTTCTAAATATGGTTTGATCCTCAAAGGAGCCTTGAGTCACAGCAGTTCCATTGCTCTATTGCTGACTTTTAATTTTTTTCTTTTCCACTACAGGAAAATTCATGTGAGAAAGCCACCACCAGGTACTCTTAACTTTAAAAAATCTAAAGTGATCAAGGATTCTGCTACATGATTCCTGATTACTTTCTTAATGCTGTTGCTTTTACTGCTCCTCCTTTCTGCAAATAACTAACCATTTTAGGTTCTTGTTGCTAAATCAACTTAAGCATGCAATAGTTTGTCCTGGAAATGATAAGAAGAGTTTCCCACCGAATGCGCTCCATCACTATGGGAGAAGAACCATACAATAGCCTATCTCTGTCCCTTATTTTGGATCCTGGGGAACAGGATTCCTTGTAACAGATGAGTTACATCCTGACTGAGACAGACACACCTGTAGCTGCTGCATACACAGCTGTATGAGCAAAGTGCAATATGTGCTTGCAGCACACATGAATGTTTTGTTTGTCACTGTAATTGTTTGATGTAAAGTCTGTCATGAGGACAAATTAGTAACTTTTTGCTACAGCATTTTTCAATACATAAACACAGTAGAAGCTTGGTCATCTGCATACTCTGGCATCTGTACAAAAATGCCAAGATTTTCCTTGGTGTGCAGTAGTGAGTTGTCAATGTAGATACCTTTCGTGTTGGCACGTGTGATGTGACTTGTCAGGACTGCCCATTTTACAAATTTTTGTTGTGGTAGGTTTGAGGAGAAAAATCAGTTTAAAACTAGCTGAAGTCACCCATTAAAGTAGTAGCTCTTACCCAGCTGGTATCGGTGCCCAAGCTGATGTGTTTTACTTGGTGTAGCCACGAAGTTTTTTAGAGCCATGCAGGGCTTGTCTGTTTACCCTTCCAAGTCTGTCAGGTCTCCAGCAGCCTCAGCTATTGAGTAGGACAGGAGGGAATCTGGGGACAGGCACTGTTCACTCCCATGTGCACACACAGTTTTTCATTCTCATTCTGCTTCTGTGAATTGCTGGTTTATTTCTTTCAGGTCCTTGTGACTGGACACCATGCCTCTTCCAGAAACCATGTTCTGTGCTCAGCAGATCAAAATACCTCCAGAGCTTCCTGATATTTTGAAGCAATTTACTAAAGCTGCTATTAGGACTCAGCCTTTTGATGTTTTGCAGTGGGCAGCTGCGTAAGTATGATGTTCACCTAACAACAGAGAGCTGTGTATAGGGACCCTCAAAACCTCACTCTCTATTGTATACTGGACATAGCTTTGAATATTGCATCAGCATATACATTGCATATACACTTTTGTATACTAATGCAGCATGTAAGCCTTTTAAAAATAGTATGGTATTTTATTTATTTTCTGTTTACTTGAGGTTTAAGGCTGGCTTACTTCTGAAATAGCTGGATTTCCATACAGAAAAATGCATCTTAATTTGATTTTGTTATTAGTTTTTCTGTCTGAAAGACCAGCTCTTTTTCCTTTTGGTTTGGTTTGGTTTTCATTAGTTATAAGATTGACAGTTTTTAGTAAGAACCACTTTTTAATCATTGCCTCTTTTTCTTCTCTCATCTGAGATTCAGTTCTTGGAATTTAAAGGAAAAAATAGACATCAGCTTTCTAATTCTTAAGCCTGGTTAGGTTTCTCTTCTTTCTTTCTGGGAAAAGTGCCTGAAAAATTGCACCTTTGAAGTGATAATCAGCATAATAAATCTCTTGCCATAAAGTTGATTTAGATGTTTAAGTGTTTCGCCTTTAACATTTTTTTTCTTTTACCTCAGCTGCTGACTATAATTTTTTCCTGCCCTATGATTTGTGTGGGCAAGCTCTTGAAAGGTATCTGTGAGTTGTTCTCAGCTGGTGGGACTGGAAAACGTCTGTACTGTGTGAGGGAGGGGAGGCTGTTAACACAAGCCAGGCTAGAGTCCGGCTTGTCTATTAAAAAGAAAATAATCTGAGGCTGAATTGTTGCCACTGCAGTGTTGGAGAAAGCCAGCTTCACACATTCTGTCAGTGTTGTAGTGTTTGTGCCTGTGAATAATCAGATGAGGAACTGGATCTGGCTGAAAAATAGCCCTGGTGTTATCTGTACATGCATACTGTGCATCTGTTTTTATAGTCACACTAATTGAGTTCTGGAGTGCTGCCTGCTGTGTATTTTAGCAAGTATTTGCACAGCATGGGATAGCCTGGACATGGACAGGGATGACCAGGGCAGATGAGGCAGGACAAGTGGAAAAACTTGTAAATTAGATGCACCTGAATAAAAACTGAGTTTTTCTTGCACAATTCAATTGCTGGCCAGTTAAGGCAGAGGCAGCTCTTAAGGCAGCCTTATAATTAAAAGGATGTGCATCCAATGCCCTTTATGCTCTGCTCTTAAATTTTATTTTGAGTGGGCAGAAATAGCAGAAATGCTGAGGAGAGAGTTGCAGTGTGAATAGGCAGATGTACATTTTGGGTAGTGCACGAGGGGAGTGTTAAACAGGTAAGTCCTCATGTTCATCAATCAAAAGAGCTGAATATATCATGCACAAAATAAGTTAAATGCCTTAGGAATTATTAGAGTGTAATGAAAAGGAGCAAGTGAAGTCTAAAGACTGTGGGATTTGGGCTCAGGAATATGGGAGTTGTGCACTGTAGGCAGCTTACCAGCTGCTCCTGTGGGGGAGCCTGCAGATTCTTACACTGAACTGTAAGAGCATTTACTTCTGAGCAGTTTGTAATGGCCATGGGCATTGAGGTGTGTTGCTCTTCCCATTCACTTAGGTATTTTTCAGCCTTATCTAAAGGTGAACCCCTTCCTGTGAAGGAAAGGCTTGAAGTGCCATTAACAACAGGGAAAAAAGATGCTGGTTTGACCCCAGGACTCCTTAAGGTCTTGCACAAACAGGTACAAGCTGTTCTTTATCAAATGCACAATGCTATTGAGGAATGCTGATGTGTTGGGAATGGCTGGGGAGAGAGACTGTCAAGTATTTGAAGTATTTTGGGGAGACACTGTGTTCTTAAATTTGTTCTGGTTTTTGGAATTCTTATTGTGGTACCATGATTTTGTTCAAAGCTTTCTTCCAAAGGCACGGTGACCATTGCAGAACTGAGGGAAAAATGGAAGCATTTGGGCTTGCCAGAGGAGCAGCTGGAAGCTATCCTGCAATTGGACAGTTTTGGCAAGCAGGTGGAATGGATGAAGTTTCTGGCACTTGGGTGCAGCATGCTTGGTGGGGTACGTTCACAGCAGGAGCCCTCATATCCAAACACAAGTGGTTGCTTAGGATCTGTATATATCCAAGACAGACCATAGAACAATTAATGCAGATGGATTTGGGGAATAGTGATTGCTTTTGCAGCAGCTGGTAAAGTGGCATGTGTGTTTACTTCAGTTGTCCATCAGATTTTGGTCTGGGGAGCTTAACCAGAAGGATGGCTAAGTCCTCGGTAGAAGAGAAGTGTGTCTGCAGGGAGCTTGTACTGTGTGAGAGAGGGTGATGGAGGAATGAATCTGATGGCATCAGTGTAAATGTCCATGGAGGAGAACTGAAGGGAGAAATTAAAGAACCAATTTTTAATTGATTGTGTAGCCAATTAAATTTTCTCAGCAGCACTTAATGTTACTACAGCTGCACTTAATTTTTTTAATGTCAGTAATAAAATCTCAGCAGAGCATTTTAACAGAATGAAAGATTATAAAATGCATTAAGCTGATGTTCTTATAAAGTATAATACTTCTAATGATTTCTACAGTAGGGAAGAAGAGGTACTAAAAAGAAAATATATGTGAAATAATATTTTGTGAATGTTGCAGTATCTGGAAGTCCTGAATGTTAACGTGGCCTGGTGATGCAATTGTGCAACTGTCTGTCTGTCTATCCATCTGTCTGTCCATCTGTCTGTCCATCTGTCTGTCTTTATGTCTTTATTTCAAATTCATATTTCTTGATTCGAGTTTTCCTCCCAAAATGATCTTGTCATTTGGGCTCTTTTCTTAATTTGAAAATAGTAACAGCAACATTACTTATCTAAAAAACAACAACCCCTCTGTCCTGCAAAAAAACCCCAAATAAACCAAAACCAAAATCAGGGTCACAGGAACATCATTCTGATGGAGCTAGACAGATTAAATTTCACCATCTCACCTTCCTTTTGGATATTAAGTGAATTATTTGATTTCAGTCCTATATAATGAAACCTAGATCTCAGTTTCCTAAACCAGAGAGAAAGACAGACATGAGAAATTTACATTCATTTCCTGCAGCTGTAAATTGTGTTCACAGTCAAGTAGGGTCATGGTTGAGATATAAGAGTAGACAAATACGAACTAAGAGCACCAGTCTGAAGTATCTTTCTTGTAAAGCATCAATGCATTTTTACAAAAGCCTTTACAAAAGGAGAAATGACCACACAGGCAGCCTGCTAAATTGTCTGTCACAGCTGGCAAAATGGATATGAATAACTTTGCTGTGTTGTGAGAGAGAGAGACCGTGGCAGTTTGGGGTGGCAGGACCAGAAAAGGCAGTAGAGGGGCAGCCAAATGCAAAATGTAGAGTTGGCCAACATAGAGTCAGCTGCCTCTCTTTTCCCTGAGAAGCCTTCCAGGGGAGGAGATACATTAAGTAAAACAGTTAAAGGATTATAAGATGACACTTCTCTGGCCTGTGTTCTAGATCTTAAACAGATAATTTATTTAAGTATTGCTATTCTACTGTTATCAAATACTGTCTTTTTACACAGACATTGCTTTCTTGTTAATGAAAATGTAAGAGTAAATTTTGAAAAAGTTGCAGTGAAAAATATTAAGGCTTAGGTTAAAGAAAGCCTGTGTGGGTTTGGTTTTGTGCTTTTATATTTTGGATATATATGGTGCGTGTGGTTTTATTTGTTTGTTTCTTTAATGGCATCCAATTCATTCTTTAACTGAATGAAACTTTATGCTGAATTTTTCCACACTTTACCTGGTATAGCTCAGAATGCATAGGGCACTGGATTGTCAATACCATATTAAAGGAAGGATTTTTTCAAAGTATATTTGGAACTAATAATTTGCGGCATGTGTTTTAAAGGCAACTCGGATGTTATTGGCCTTTGACTCAACTGAAATATTCTTTACATGCTTTTTGCCTCAGTGCTTTTTCTGCTGTCTGTTAAAATGGAACTTGCATAGAGATAGCGGAAACAGTAAATATCAGCCAAACTATAATCCAAAAATTATATAATAGAATAGCATAATAAAATCACCAAATCTCTATTTATTTGCTGGGCGTTGTAGACTTATGTGTCTTAACTGCTGCTGAGAATTCATTTAGAACCATTGAGGTAATATACACACACAAAAAGATCTGTTACTAGATACAGTGATGTTGCAGCTTTTACAGTAGCAGAACAGAGCAATTTGGCCCTAATGGAGAGAGAGCTCAGATTACCCTGTGCAATCGTTAACCATCACAAGATTCTGGTAGTTTTTTACTCCTGTTTCTACTAGAACTACATTATTGTTTTCATCCTTGGGCTTGCATTAGAGAGTAAATTTGGGGTTTAAAGCTAGGCAATGATGATTAACACCTTCATCTCATTTACCCTCCTTTTTAATGGCTCACAGTGTGGATTTTGCCATGATATGCAAGGATGTTCATGGCTCTGACACTTTTCCTTTCATTTCTTGCTGGAACCCCCTGCAGTCCTTACTGAGTTCAATGAAACAGGCCTGTGAGATCTTAACAAGAGACCCAGAAGGCGGTGCAGCTCGAATTCCCTTTGAAACATTCTCATTCCTTTATTCGTATTTGGCCAGTATTGATGGAGAGATATCAGAGATGGAAACTAATGCATTCCTCGATGGAATTAAAGAACAAGCGTAAGTAAAAATCTGTGCAAGGAATTTTAACGTATCAATTGCCTCTGGGTTCTCCATAAACCTTTAATTTCAGGTGAATAGTCCATTTTCTTTTGGGCATAGCCATGATGGCAGGAGTAAGGATTGACTAAGATTGTATCAAAAATATGCAGAGTTATTTTTTGTCAACTTGAGCGTTTGCAGTATTAAAAGACAAATTGTTATTTATCCATCTTTCTCTGAAATACTGAAGTCTCTGTAGGGTGGTATAATTTTCTGTGTAGGAAGCTATTATATACAGGCTTGTAACATCTGCATATTTCTGCTTCTGGAACCAGCAGCGTCTTCTGGGCTGTTTCTTTGATTGAACATAGATCATAAATCAGAGAGAGAGACTGGGAGCTCTCTCAATTGTATCCATAGTCACACATAGGTCACACAAAATGCACTACACCAAATAAAAAATATCTGTAACAGGCTTGTCCTCCACGTGTTGCCTGTGTAGCATGTTTGCATACAGACACTTAACTGTTCCCACCATCTCTCTGGAACTGTTCTTTCTGTGCCTGGTGGCTGACACAGCCTCAGAGGCACTACCATCATCGCTGCTGGGCTCAGCCCTGGCCAGCGGCGCGTCTGTCCTGGAGCTGTCTGGCACTGGCTCTCTAGAACATGGGGGAAGCTTCTCTCAGAAGTTCACAGAGGGCACCACTGTGACCCCCACCTGCCCCCCAAAAAACATTGCCATGCAAACTCCATACACTGCCTTAGATTGCCACCAGCTCCAAGTTCATGGGAGCTCCAAAACAAGAGTATAGAAATGAACTTTTTCATCATTAGTTATAAGATTGACAGTTTTTAGTAAGAACCACTTTTTAATCATTGCCTCTTTTTCTTGCATTTCATATAGCCCTAAACTGTATCTTTTCCAACACACTATGTTGTGAAAGTGACATTTCAAAAATTTGGTTTATTCCTTTCCAGGGACAAACACTCTGGCATGGTGCTGATCAGACACTTCCTGCCATACTCCTTCATATTTTATTGATCAGTCCTACTCTTCAGCATGAGGTGAGAGGAAAAATAAAAGAAGGAATAAATAAGTTCAAGAAAATAATTTGTGTTCAAAGTACCATAATTTGCACATTTCAGAACAACATGAGCCTCTTCGCTGGCATTTCCTTTTCTTTGTCCTGCTCTTGAGATGGTCCTTCAGGGGATTATTCATTGAATAATACATGGTTTTATTGTTCTCCAGCCTCTCAGACACCCCTAGGGAAGACCCCTTCACTCATCTGCTTATATTGAATTGAGCAAAAGTTGTTTTGTTACTGAGCTTCCTAACTACATTTGATAACTGATTAAGTAAAACATGGGACTGAGTTAAGCCAGAGCAGCTGTAACTGGAGCATTTCTCATTATGCTTCTGGTAGCTCTGAATTCGTTTTGACTCTGGCACAAATACAGCTGATCCTTGGAGTACCTTGTCTGCCTGGACATGCACTGTTTGAACTGTTGTACCAGGCCCTACTGAAAGAACTTAATGAGAACCCTGTGGCTGAGCTGGGAGACAAAACCAATGCAAGGACTGCAGCGGTTCCATATTGTTTTCCCTCTAATTAGAACCCTTTCAGAACTTAAATACCTTTTTTCATTTTTGGATAAACTTGTCTAAATAAAGATGTTTTAAAATATATCTTGTTTTCTGACAGGTAAAGCTACTGCATTTGTCACATAGGTGAGGAATACCTGACACAGAGTTGCTTGGTTAGACTGCTGTAGCAGGTATAGAAGCCTAAATCCATGAAAACTAGACCAAATATTTAGTGACAGATAATCACACTTAATTACAGAAACAACTGAGGTATGAAAGGGTACTAGAGGCTACAGTAAAACTGGAAAGATTCCCTTTGACTGAGAAGGCCACAACCAGGAGCAACACAAAATGCCCTCTCTTGGCACACTGAACAAACAGAAGTATTTTAGGAAAGATGGATTCTTTTATAATTGTTTACTTTGTTGAATCAAGAAGCTTGGCTGATGATGACTGACCTTGCTGAAGTAGATTGTGTGAGGAATTAACAAACTGTACATCCTTAATATCTATCTGCATGTTTTAAGTCTGTTTTATCAACCTCTATCACAAACATTTGTATGTTAGTCCACAGGATGGGAAGCCTTCCTGGTTATTGCTGGAAGGAAAATCACCTGCTGTTTGAATATGGTACTCAGCAATATTCCAAGTGTCCTTGGTGCCTTCCCCCTAGCTTCTGTGGAGAGCTACATTCTCATCACCTTTTCCAGATTGTATTGATCCAAATTTTCTTTGAGCATGAGCCTGGGCACAGTAACTTCTGTGTTATTGTCCATTTAACACCAGCTACAGTTGACGATGTTTTATCCTGTTGGAGAACTCTGAAATCTGCCCTCTGGTACATGCTGTAAGTAGGCAATGTCAACTAGGGGTAACAACGTTAGGTAGGAGGGGGAGCTCTCTTTGTGCATTCCCTCTGTGTAACTGATCTGGACTCCAGGGATTAGCTCTGTTCTATATCCACTACTTACAGGCCAGGAAGGCCAAAAGTACAACCTCTCATAAATTTTATTATTCAGCCTTGTCAGAATAACTCAAATACATGAGAGATCAATATAATTTATTAACAGATGTATAAATGTTCCAGATGTACACATTACCTGGAATATACTGCTTCCATCCTGACAAACTGTAGCACTTTTTTGTCTCCAAGCAGCACAGCTGTGATGCAACACCAATATTATGTGCACACCTTTACTGTCTTGGGCAAAACAGCAGTAACAATAGTTCTTGTGGAAGTTATGTTCTGAACAGCTGACAAACAAAATCATCAGGTTCTTGTTCCTACTTTCTTCTTTTGTGATTGTAATACTTGTCTTCATCCCTGAAACAAAAACATAAACATTGTGTGGGCTGTTAGGCTCGGAGTGAGAGTCTGAAGAGAAAAAAACAACTTGGAAAATGGAAAGCTCTCATTAAATGTAGTCATGTCCTCCTCTAAGGAAAGAAAGTAAACTGCTTTTAGACAGTTTCTTTTCTGTGCTGCTTTAATCAAGTCTTGCCATGCAGTGCCAGAGTGCCAATTAGTTTAGGATGAATGGCATCACAGAGAAATGAAGCCAGCTTTGAGACAAGCCATCACTGCCATCCATGCAGTTATGTAATGCATTTACCCAAACACAAGGGGCAAGGCAGCATTTCTTGTGCACAACAGTCCTCGTGTCTGCTCAAACACAGGGTCCCACACACCTGTGGTCCTGCAGATGTAAATGTCTTTGTTGATGGTATTACAAGGTGTGGCCTAGATTTGTTTTCTTTTGCTAAATTGTATGTCCAGAAGTACTGAAGAGCAACAGCATTGTTTTGAAGCATCTAATATGGAAAAGTTAATGTTTGCATACTAGTGAAACAAATCATACTATTTATTAAGATCTAGAGCAAACTAGAGCAGAAATCAGCATTAGACATGACAGGCACGTAGTTGTGATGAGAAACATACTGTCCCTTTAACCATATTGATCAAGGAGTAAAATCAACAGCCTGTTACAGAACTGTTGCAGCCCTGCAAGCATGCTGCAGAAAGTGCCACCCTTCAGATGAGACTGTAAATTCTGAAGTCTGGATCACAGTTTGTGATCTCACAGAATGTTCTGTTTAGTAGCCTCATACCACTGGCTTATCATACTGCACGTGAGGTTAGCCTAGCTTTTTAACTGGACTAGACATGCTCAACCTCTGCACTAAATTCTCATACAAAATGGCTACAGATGCCTGATTGGGAAGCAGGAGTCAGCTGTCACTGTTTCTGCTCACCTCTCTCTTTTTCTCCGAGAGTCTCTGTCTTTGCCTCTCTCCCGACTCCTCCTTCGTTTACTTGGACTCCTGCTGGTGTCTCTCCTGTGTCTCGTGCACTCCGTATCCTTACTGCTTCCCCCAGACTGCCGTGAGTCCACCGAAGCTGACCGCCTGTCTTCCCTTCTGAAAATAAACTTAAGTGATTTTAATCAGTAAAAACAGTTTCACACTCACTGTTTCCAGTATCATACTACTGTTTCACACTACTGTTTCCAGTGACTTACTACTGATGTAAGACAGAAGACATATTCATTTTAATGCTGGGTACAGAGTGTCACTTAATAGTGTGCTTCAAAAATATTCTCCTCTCAAAGACCTGCTGAAGAGGCACAAATAGGAAACCACTAGGTCATGACTCCATGTTTACTTCAGTGACAAACATTTGGAAGGGTGTGCAGTGTTGCTTGACACAGCAAAAATATGTATAGCTAAAACACCCTCCCAATTAGCACAGCAGCATTTGCAGGGATAAGAACTGTAAAGCCTCCCCACATTTACTATGTTTTGGAAACCTTTACTCTGAGGTGTAATATATCTAGCATATGTCATGTGGTAGGGAAGGGTAAGAAATTGTGTACTTGTATTTCCAAGTGTCCTTCTGTAACCAGCTACAACATATATATATATATATATATATATATTTGGGCACAGAGGGAGCACTATTCATCCCCCAGCTCCACTAGAAACTACCTGTTCAGCTGAATCACTTGCAACTAACCTACCTGCCTCTGAAAGAAAGATACTTATTAATGTTTCTCCATCCTTCACGCACACATAGTTTCTCAAGCAAGACTTAACAGAATTAGTATAAAATAAACCGTGCACATGACTCAGATAATGTTGGTGTGTGCTATTAGAAGAAGGTGGTAAGATAAAATTACAATCTGCTTCATGCCTGAAGAAGCTGTCAGCTGTGGCATACCTTCCTGAAGACTTTGACTTCCCTCCTTCACATATCTCTGCATTATCCAACCTGTTCTCCTCTTGCCACTGATTGCTGAGTTCTTCCATATGCACACCAATCACATCCCGAATCACCTGGAGATTAAGATATGTTAAAAATAAACATGTCATGGTAGTGCCTGAACAAGCACTAAACAAAGTGTAAACATCTCAAAAAAACTCTAACCTCACAAAAATCTCCCCCAAACACTGTACATCAGATGTTTGAAAGTCTTATTTGCAGAAAAATCTTTCAGCATAAATTTAAATAGCACCATTTTATGATAGTGAGCTATATGTTGCTGACATTTTCACATTCAAAACTTAGCAGTTAGAAATGCTCATTATTTGTAACTTGCTGCAACAAACCAAATCCAATCCTCTATAGTTTGCAACAATAACAAAGCAGGATACAAGAGGCAGAGAAAGACACATGATTTGTCTTTGAAAAAGTATATAATTGTTTATGCTGATATATAGCAAGCACTTTTGTCCAAAAAAGCCTTTTTTTTCCCCAATCTCACCTCAGTGTAGGACTTCTTTGTTATATGAACATTCTTAGCTCTGTATGACTGCCGCCGCCTTTTGTAATCTCGCATTTCAGCCAGAATTTCAAGATGGGACTTCGGACCTTTCTGACTATCATCTAGCAAAAAATTGGGAGTAAAACAAACAGTCATTAGCAGGATGTTAGCACCTGCAGGTATGCAGGCCTGTACATTCAGGAACATAAAACAATCGTGCTCTGTCTCAAGTTCCTCCTGTATTTAGTAACTATGGTGAATTTATCTCAAGCTTCCTCCTCCAACCTTCTTGCTGGCTGTTTACACACAAGTAAAAAGGCAGCAAGCAAACGCTGTTATGTGATCTCAGTCTCCAAACTGTGATCCACACCAGTATACAGGCTTGTGATTTGGTCAAACGCCTTCTAAGTATGAGTCATGTTTTCAAAGCCAGTATTACAGTAAGGTACAGAAGGAGAAAGCCAGACTCTGTTAGAAAGTTATCTACATAGATGACAAGCACTGTCACACCTCCTAGGCACAGCAGGGCCTGCGGGGTGACACAAATGCTTTCGCTGCACTTGGTAGTTACAAACTGGCATGACTCAACAGGGATGAGAGGTCCCAGACCAACACCAAAGTATGTTGCTCAAGAGCTCCACCTGGATGACTGTCAACCTCTCCTGTTCAGCTTTTGCTCTTAAGCAATCTTTAATCTCATCATGTCCCACAGCAAATAACTGTTCCAAGCTGCACAGCCTGCTTGGCTATCAACAAAACTTATGTAACTGGACAAACTGAAAGTTCTGAGCCATAAATTCAACAACAGGTCATTCTTCAAACCTTGGGTGATTTTTGCTGCTAAATCCACAAAGAGATCACTGTCATTTTCCGTTATCTGGGATCTGGACTTCTGTTTCTTTGTCTCCTCAACAATGTAATCGTAAAGAGCAAGGCGGTCAGCCTGGGTCAGGTCACACGTGAAACGCTTGTGGTTTTGAGGAACTTCTACGGGCAGTAATGAGTAAGATCCTGGAGGTTGGACAGAGAGCTGTTACTTGTAAAGTAGCATAACTATGCAGGAAAATACCAAGAAGCTCAACAAACAAACAATGCAGTAAATTCCCAGGCTGTTTTCATCCTTCCCCTATGTATCTGTAAGAAGTTTCAACCTTTGTAATTTGAAAAGATAAAAACTGCTCAAAGATCCCTCCCAAGCCCCTCTAAGGCTGTAAAACCCCTCCTGATTGCTTACACAGATACAGTTTTCATATGCTATGAAGGAATTGTACTAGATTAGATCAAAATGACCTCTGTAATTTCCCATGAGTTTCAGCTCTTGACTTACAAGCTAAATCAAGAGAGGGTGCAGCTCTAACTTGTGGGTTTATCTTACTCCTAAAATGTTACATAAAGTGCTAGCTGCAAAATACCTGTTCTGCCAACAAGAATGAAAGCTTCTAGGACACTAGATAACCAAGGACTGTGTAAATCAGTCTCACTCACACTGTCACCTTCTCTTCAGAGCTTTTACAATAGACTGACACAGGAATTTATAGCCAAAAGGACTACAAAGGCACTTTCAAAGTGCTGCAGATCGGTTCAGATTACTGTCTTAAAGCTGTGGAAACAAACACACTGCCTGAACACTCCTCTTTCCCATTCCCCAGTTAAAACACACATGCCTCCAAACAAATTAATCCATTCTCAATCCATTGCAACAGCAGTTAAGTGACTTGCACAAAGATACAGGATGCAATACTCTAGGACATGGACAGCAAAAAACCATTTTAGTAAAAAACTTTCAATTTTCCAGCAACCATTCATCTGACCTCCATAATCCTGCTTCCCCCAGCACAATCCCACACATCCCCAGGCAGACAGCAAAGCCAACACATAAGAAGGGTGTATGCACAACAACAGCAAACCTAGAGCTTCTCCAGATTATTCAGCTCTTAATGGAAACTGGGCAATCTTTCACATCCTACTATCACTAAAGACACCAAAGAAGAGGAAGAGAAACCACAGTAACTTTACAAACCTAAAATACAAGACTTCATCATTACTGTACTTGGAACCTAAACCAGAACTGTTCTAACATGAACAAATGAATTTAAACACAAAAACTAGAAGTCTCTTTTTAAAATGTCCTGTTCTTACAGTGTCACAGAAGTCCATAAAAATGCACTGATAATTACAAGCTTGTGATTTTAGAAGAATTACACAACTTGTGATTGAGACAAATTTTTGTGTTCAACAATGTAGCTATGCTAATATTCTAAATATGGTTAGAATTGAAAAAAAAAAAAAAAGAAAGAAAACAAAGAAAAACTCACCCCGGGAATCAGCAAGGAAATTTACAATGAAAAATTATTTTTCATTTGTTTCTGCTGCCAAAGACTTTAAATTGAACAAGTCAGTAAATCTTACAACAACAATGAAAACCACTGATCCAGTTTCAGTGTTATCCTCAGAGAAAGGCAAAATTGCAGGGAAATTGGGCAGTGAACACTGGCATCTAGTGGCTCACTGATGCACCTTTGCAATGAACCACTCCACAAAGGTTTCATCTGCTGCTTCTCTACTTGCATGTGGTTATGTCAAATTAATGAGTTCCCACTTCCCTTCAGAGACAATGCACCTGACATGCTCAAAACACAGTGCTCATCCCAGGACATGCCCTTTCCAAGCAACTGTCCATTAAGCCTCTATTTGCTATGCCAGAGAAACAAAGAAAACATGAAAAGCTGTCTGAGCAAGTGCTGCTGTATTTCACTGTCAGAAGTTTCAGTGTTACTTTTCCTTCTGTCTATACGTGTTTAACAAACCAAAGTCTACAGAGAGCAAGTGTTCTTTCAGGTGTTGCAGTAATTTCTCAACCATACACTAAAGCTCTACAGATTCCAGAGGGAGCCCTATTTTTCTACCTGATCTAAGTCTGAACCTTTGAAGATTCCATCCTAGCCTGGTCCCCTGTGTGGTCACAAAACCCACTGAAAAATGAAACATAAAGGAATTAGTGAGCTCGGAGCAGTGACAAAGGACAACATCACATTTGCAAATGTGCCAGCATAGTTCTTGTACAACTTTTTAGTTCAGTCTTGAAACAGTCCAACACAGTAACACACATGTTGTTTAGTTTTTTCAGTCCTGAAGACAATAAGAGATATGGGCACAACAGATTCAAAGTCTCTCATCTTTACTTAGTTGCCCCAAGTATAGAAAGAACTCATGCTCCAAGATATGCATGGGGAAATATTCAAAATAAATTAAATTCCTCACAGCAGTTCTCAGTGGAATGAAGGAAGCAGCAAGGAGGGAAACGAGGGCAGCTCTCCACAGGAGGCTGGTGAAATCACGTCAGTATCTGTTTGCTCCTTACCTTCACTATAGCCTGCACCTTCCTTTGCACTTTGGGCTCTAGCCTGCTTAACAATGTGAAACTGTAGATCTTTATCTGCAGGCAGAGAAGAAAATAAAATCAAACCACTTTTACATCAAGTTCTTGAGTACTTGATTGGATTACTCTTTACTCCCCGGCCTCTATTATGAGACTTATGATACGGTACAGAACATCATATTTCATTCATGTACAAGTGGACATTTGAACTAAAAATGTAATTTTCATTTATTACATATTTGAAATGAGGGGAGAAAATTAAGGAAAAAAATACATATTCCTGGGTTACAAGGATATGGAAAAAGAAATGGATATACGTACATTGTTCTCTGTACCACTGCTTTATCTCCAAATTCTACAGAGAGCTTCCTGACCTTCTAAGCATTCATTTTAATACACTTTCTGGATTTGATGCAAGAGTGAGGACTAAGAACACAGGAAGAAAATCCTAAGAGGACAAAACTGATCCTCCTTGGATTTTAAGATGAAAATATAAGAGTGATCTACAGAGTAAAATTACACAGTGATAGAAGCATAAAAACAGTAAAATAAGGCAAATTGCAAACCACAATTTGAGATAACTAACCTACTGATTGAAACACTCAAGATTTTCAGGAGGTCTTGAGGAGTTTACAGCTGCCAAGGCAGCGGAGTTGTGCTACCGTGAGGACCCGGACTCCTTGGTCCCACATCTCGCTCTTTCCCCGCGATCTCCCCTTAGCCCCTCATTCTCTGCACTTCCCCGCGTGTCCCTCCTCAGCCCCAGCCCTGTGTGCCGCCCGCTGCCCCGCTCACCCATGGCGATGGCGGGAACCTTCAGGTTTTCGTAGAAAAAGCTGGAGTCGTACATCTCGGCCTGCGGGACCAAAGGGCTCGGTCAAGGCCCGGCCCGGGGCTGCCGAGCGGTGGTGGCAGCCCAGGGCAGCAGCGCCAGCCCCGCGCCCCTCTTCCCGAGCCGCGCTCCCACCTCCTCCTCGGCGGAGTATCCCATCCTGCGCAGCCGGCAGGACGCCGCGTGCCTCTCCAGCGACGCGCGGGGGACACGGTGATGGACGTCGTAGGGGCACAGCACCCACTCCACCTGCGAGGGGACACGGGTCAGCCCCGCTGCGCCGGGCGCCGCCATCGCCGCGCGCGCGGCCCCGTGACCGCGGAGGGGCGGCCCCGCCTCAGAGCGGGCGGCAGCCGGCCCTGCAGGGCGTGCCGAGGGATCTGGGTCAAGCTTACAACCTTATCCTTCTAAATTAGCATCCGGTAGGTGGACGACTACCATTAATCAGTTGCATTGCGAGCAGCGGATGCTTGGTTAGAATTTTAAGGAATAGGGCAGACAATCCCAAGTTGGATGGGCTGTCCGGACGAGAGCCACCAGGAGCAAAGTCGGCGGGGCTGAGCAGCAACTGGGGAATGGTAATCCCGGCAGTGGGCGATCGCGACCACCGACTCACTGGCCACATCTCACCGAGAACGGACGCCGGGCTCAGATGAGTCCGCGCCGCGGACTGGTCGACATGAGCAGCGGGAGACACAGCCAGCAGATGGGGCTTGAGTAGCAATTAACACAAAAGTTGCGTAGTTTGCAACCAGTGACTGCTGCTGCCCCTGCTTGCTGAAATGTGTAAATAGCGTGCAGTTCCGGCGCTCGGTGAGGCAGCCGCGTGCTGCTCACCCCCAGCTGACTGCCTGGCGCCAACGGGAACAAACCCCGGGAATGCCGCGGTGCCGCCTGCCGGCCGGAGGCCGCAGGACACCCCCGCCGTGCCCGGCCCTGAGGGGCAGCGGGCTTTGCCCTCCCTGCGCACAGGCCTGCGTGCCGCTGGCCTCATCGAGGGCTGCTCGCCTGGGCGCCGGCCCTGCCTGCCTGGGTGCCCCAGAGCTCCCCCTGATCGTGGCGGGGAAGGAGGAGCATCAGCCCCCGTATCGCCATCCAGGCCCTGAGGCCCGATTCCCTCTTGGAACAGGAGGAATGTGGTGCGAGATGACAGCAGGCCCGACAGCAGGCTCCTGCCGCAGGATCGTGAGAGGATCCCCAAGGAGCAGGATATGCAGTGCAGAACCAGGATGGGTTTGTCCCCTCGTGGAGCACGGGGGTGTTGCCAGTGTTGGGGAGCTGCATGGCTGAATAGGTGCAATAGGGCTCAATCAGACTGTAAGGCAGGATGAGGAAAGAATGACTGTCTTAAGGGATAGATTTCACCTGATTGATGTTTGTGCTTGCCTATTTGTTGTCTCTGAAAAGCACACGACTGGATGGAAGAGTGGATGGGGGAGAAGCAGCATGACAGATGCAGCTGCCAGAATGACTTTTGTACATCTGCTTTTCATTAGCAGATTACAGCCCTTACTGCACAGTGAATTTGAGACTCAGCTGGGATTTTAGCCCTTTGAGAGATTTGGTGCCTCTAGCTACCTTTGCCTGGGGATCTTTGACATCACATGATACAGAATACTTGTTGTGAAGACTTCCCAGCTGCCCTTGCATTTTCGTCCATGCTGTACTGAAGTGCACTCACTAACTAGCATTAACACCTTTATCAAAAGAGTACTGAGAAAATCAGTGCAAAACTGTTTTGACCATCTCCACTGGAAAAAAAAAATACTCAAAATTATGAAAGTCAAGTTCAACAAAGTATCCAAGCAGATTTGTTTTAAGACTAAAGATTAAACAAAAAATTGATTTTGTTTACTTATAAATTAAATTGATAAGAATTAGGATAAATGTTTTGTTCGGCTAAACAACAACATTTTGAATGATTCAGAATTATCTTAGGGCCTTCTTTTCCCGTATAAAACCCCAGTTCCTGTTATCATGGAACAATCATGGCTACAGACTTTCCAGGAGCAAACTGACTGGATGGGAGAAAAAGATCATCAGCTTACAAAAGTTCATAGCGTCACTTTTCCTTCCAGGCAAAATCACACTTAGGTTGGCTTTCCATCAAGCAAAGAGTGGGATTGTCACAGTCTTTCATCTAAAACTCTTATCCCAGCTGTTGTCTCCAGTCTGTGGCACACCCTCCTTCTGCACCCAGCACTGTGCTGCTGCTGCCAACAGTGCTGTGACTTTGTCATCAAACATTAACATATGGTTAATAATGTAAATGTAACAATAAAGTAAATTTAACACTCAGTCTCACGGTCCCTTCTGAGAAGGAGAGAGGAAACTCCACAGCTGCATTTCCTGAGACAGGAATGCTGCCTCACTGCAGCATCCTGCAGCAGGGGTACTTGAATACAGTCCAGCACCTCTGCAGAGCTGCAATTCATGGCAAGTAGTAGTGGTGCTTTTGTAGATGCTCTTTCTGGACAGCACTGACCTATGGAGAAAGTCTCTATGGAAATCAGCCCCAAATATCCTCACAGCGCAGCAGAACAGTCCTAAACTGCTGGACAAGCAGAAGGTACAGCAGGGAATTGTATACATTAAGCCATCATAAAGACCATACAGTGCTGTTGGAGAACTCCTGAAATGTACCTACCACCTTGTGCCTTCCTTCAGATGGAATTTATATTGCTAGATTCTCCAGCTGTTGGCACATCAGGAACCACCTAGTTCAGGACCATACCCTGGGGCACAAAGCTTAACCTAGGTTGAATGATCCCAACCCAACAAAGTTGGTACCTCCAAGAGTGCCAGGTTGAAACCACACTGAAATTGCACTGCTCTTAAGGCCTAAATCTTCCTAATGGATGTGCAGGAGGAGTGGGAAGCTCCTCCTGAGCAGCAAAACCCTTCCCCACACAGCTGACACAGGGAAGAGCATTCCATGGCTTGTGTTAGTTTTTTCCTCCACTACTAAAAAAATCTTGCAGACTTTCTGATATTTATTTAGAAGTATACTGAATTTTTCTCTAACATGAAAGAAAGACATTTTTCATATTTAGCATTCCTTCTATTCCTTAGATTCAAAGCACTACTTAACAGTTTTATTGTGTGTTCACTGTTTCCTCTAGAAACAAGGAAAAAAATGTGAAAGCTCAATTTATTAATTTTTTAAAACATGCTTTGGGTAAAGAGAAATAAAATAAGCTTTGTAACAGTTGTCTCAATCCTTACCACATTCAGCATGCACAATTCTGGGTGGGAAAAGGGCCATGGAGCTAGGCAAAAGAAGCTGTAGAATGAATAGAAACCTCATGGGACTACCCAAAAACTAAAATGGAAGCAGCCTGGCTTGTGGGCCCAGACAGCCCATGCAGGCCTGGGAGATAGAAAAAACAGCTCTTGACCTCCAGCTGTGACAGATTTTTGCTGGACCCACCCCAACACGTTTGGCAAATTTACAACAAGATCTGTGCATCTTTGTGAAGGATATGGAGTAATCAGCCAGCACCTGGCAGACCACAGTCTGACCTGCAGCAGGGAATGACTCTGCCAGGACAGATGCCATGCAGATCCCTAGGGCAGTTTAAACTGCAGCCACTCCATTAACATTCACTCCTTGGACTGCAGGAGCAGGAGATGTTGAACAGGAAGGTTGGGGGTCCCACCCTGGTGCTAAGATTGACTGGACTCACCTCAGAGCAGCTCTGGCAGCTGCCACTTCTTCTCCCTTGCCCCTGGAGCCCGCATGTCAACCTCATTTTCTCCAGGGAAGGAGTTGTGATATCCATCCAGGCTGGTAGCATCTGTGTCACTCTGCAAAAATGAGAGACATTTGGTGAAGATGAAGTTTGAATTTCAGATGCTTAAATTTCATTCTTTTTTGGTCACTGTTGGTTTTATTCACTTTTACCTTAGACTTCAGCAAAGATGCCATATTCAAAATCTGTAGCCTCAGTTCAGCTGAACCAGCCTTTTTATCTACAGGGACATGAGGTGAGCTTCTCTAGCACATAAGAATCAATTTATAGAAGTATCATTTATGCCATAGGCATATTTTCCAAAATTGCCTTTACCAGACCACTGACAAGAGTTTAATTTTCACCTTTTGCTGTCCAAGTTCTAATTTTGTTGCCCTCCAGCTCATCCAAAAGTGCCAGTGTGGAGCAGTACAGGTGCTGATGGCAAGCAGAGAACTCAGATAATGCCCAGACCTCAATGCTTTCTCTGCTGGGGGAGTGCAGCTGATTTATTGCTTCAGCTGTGTAGCACTCAGAGCCTGCTGCAACTCCTTAGCTCCTGGATGTTTATTCCTTTGTAATTTAGTCCAGTTCACAATTACAGCCTGTGGTGTATTTTATGAACTGCAGTGCACCGGACAATTCCAAATTGATTTACAGGCAGCAGCTCTAGCATCTATTAATGCCTTATTGATTCTTCTCTCTGTATCTCTCTGTGATCTCTCATGGATTCATCAGATTTAGATCAGTTTAATCAGGCTGGTATCATTCTCATCTCTAAAGATAAAGCATGGTGTTCTCACTTGATGGAGCTAGGAGTTCACTGTTAAAAAACCTGAAGTAAATCCAATGCACTCTTCCACACTCAAGTTTTAACGCGTATTTTGAAGCCTTCATGGTTTTTTTTTTTCTTTAAGCCCTTCACAGCTGCTGCCCTGCAACCCTTGATTCTTTGCCCACTCCCTTCTCTGCCCTTCCCTTGCTGTGAGCTTTCCAACAAGCTAGTGCCTGCCACCTGCTTGGAGTCAAGGTTTGTCCCTTGCCTTTTCCTCCTTGGTTGTTAGTGGTCTGGTGGGCATCATTATTTATGTAATTATTTTATCATTAACACCTGTTGTGATTAAACATAATCCCTGTGAAGAATGAAAGCCTTTTCCATACTTTTTGTCACAAATACTGCTGAGAAGGAAACCAGCTAAACTAACATGTGGCCATGACTGTGAAAAGTGGCAATTTCTGGCAGGTGACTTGGCCCCTGCTTGTTCTTAGCTGTGCCAGTGCCCTGCTTGCCACAGATGTGGAGATCCTTTCCAGCACAGGACTCCTTGTTCTTTGCCAGGAAGCACAGAGGAGACTGTGGTTTTCTTTTAAAAGCATGCTATTGATTTCTAATTGATGCCTGCTTGAATTGATGCCTGCCACGCAAGGGAGCTGAAACAGCCCAGACCTTGCCATGCTCTCAGCACTTGCACTACTTGGGAAGCTTTAGAGCAGCACAGAAGTCCTGTGCTAACTTCATGTTTCAGCTTGTGCTAAAGTTCCTGTTGGATTTATCATGTGGGCATGTCTTAAATGTACCTCATTTTGCACCAGTCCAGGGAACTTCCTCTCCTCTGTTGGGGCCCCAGTGTATCCCTTAAGGTGAATCCTTGGCACGAGGCTCATGGTCAGTGTTTGGACACATGGATCAAACCACCTGCTTTTGCTGTAACTGCAGACTTGTGCAGCCTTAGAGGTCACTTCAAAAATGTGGCCTCTCATGTTCAGCACTGTTAGTGCAGTGAATAATGATGGCTGTCCCTGGATGCTGCCATTTCTTCTCATACGCAAAACAAATAATATTACTTTTACCTGAACATTTCAAAGTAAGGAGGAACTTATGCACAACAATTTCCTTGGAAACAAGTCAGCAGATGCAAGGACAGGCCAGGTGTTATAACAAGCTTAATATTCTGGGTGTGGATCTGCAAGTGCTGCCTACGAGCATCCTTCCTCTTCCAGGAGGATTAG